CCCCAAAACCCCAAAACCCCACAATCAATAATTAAATTATAAGAGTTTGAAATAGTAAATTTATTAATAATAATCAATTACTTCTACTTTAAGATTAGCACTTACTCACAAAGTTTGAATGGAATCAAGATAAGAGAATATCTAAAAAATATTGATAATTGGTAACACTGGCAATGGAAAATCAACTTTGGTAAATTGCTTAACTGGAAATTAAGGTGCAATAGTTGGAAATAATTCTAGAGGTGTCACAAAACTTCCTTCATTCTATAAAACTTAGATTAAAGGGAGAAACTTTGAAATTATTGATATGCCAGGTTTCGGAGATAGAGACATTTCCTTTAAAAAGGGCAAAGAAATCTGGAATAAATATTTAAAAGGTTAAAGGATTCATGCCATGATTTTTACTCATAAATCAGTAGATGACAGATTAACACAATTTGACGCTCTTTACGCAGATATAGTAAAGCAATCATTTGAGCCGCATGAATTCTCATCTAGGATAGTTATGGGCATCACATTTTGGAATCATTATGAATATGACAAAGGAAGAAGAGATGAAAAAATTAACCATTTCTCCACAGATCTATTAGATGAACTTAATGATAGCCTAGGGTTCAAAGGAGTTTAAAATAAGATTAATACGACTTTGTTTTTCACAGACCAAATAGACTAGTGCTGAACTGAGTTACTAAAAATATCTAACCTTTTTGATTCTCAGCCTCAGGATGTAAAAGCTGCTTGTTAAGATGATGATTTAGCCTATTTTTTGAAGAAGCATCTTTCATTTGAAGAAAATGAAATAAATTAGATAATTTAGTATGATATTGGCCCTTCAGATTTGAAAAAAGATGTAAATGGAGATGCAAATGTAAAGCGAGATACATGTTTTCCTCCGTATTCCTAAGTTAGATTGGAAGATGGTAGGATTATTAAAATAAAAGACTTAAAGATTGGAGATAGAATTTTAGCTTTTAATATTCAAAAGAATATTTAGTATGTTGATACAGTGACAAATTTTCTTCATAAAGAAAAAGATCCACTGTGCTAATATTTAAGAATCTAGCTTAAAAATGGGCAAAATATTGAATTATCTTGGAATCATATGATATGTGTTGTATAATAAGACGATATTAGCAATTTGAGCTACATTTAGGCCTATAAATTAATAAAAGATAAACACAAATTAATAAGTATTTCGAAAAATGGCAGCTATCAACTAGTAGAAATTGAACAAGTCTCAAATTTTTTCTATAATGGGTTGTATGCTCCTTTAACTAGGAGTGGAACAATCATAGTTAATGACATATTAGCAAGTTGCTATGCTGGAACTTATTCATAGTAGATGTCGCATATCGCGACTTACCCGATTCAATTCTGTTATAAATATTAAGATTTGGATGGAATTCATCCTATTGCTAAAGTGTTAACTAAAATATTTTACTGATGTGAATAATCTGAAAAATCTAAATCTTAATTCTCTATTTTATTATTTTGCAAAAAGTATTTTTTTCATGTTTAACGGGGTTTTGGGGTTTTGGGG